CGATTGTCTTTTAACTATTAGCCTGAACAGAATTGTTCGATAAAGTAATTGTACAGAGAACTAAACCAAAACTCAGGAAAGAAGGAGCTTTGCATCAGCTGTTTTCTGGAGTTGTAGAGTTAGAGTTGGCAGTCTGAGCAGAGTAATGCATGTCTAAGCTACTGCGTAAGGTGTGCATTGACCCTTTTATGAACTGGACTTCAGAGTGCAAAAAACACTTAAGAGCACAATCTTAAGAATTTGAGATGGTAGAAATAAGGGGTAGTCGTGTAAGCCTGTAATAACTGAAGTGATAGTGCAAGTGCATGGTCAGCATGCACTGAGTCACTAACCCTCATGAAGAGGTAGGCTCGAGCTGACGGAAGGAGACACTGGCAAGTGGTGACATCAGAGATGCTTTATTGCAATGTAAAACCAGCAGGGGTTCCAGTGCCTGTGAAACAGTTTGTGCGCAGCATCTAACAGTGTGCCCTTGTTGTGGACTAAAGGATTTTTGTGTTTCAGGCTAACTCTTTATTAATGACTTTGCATAGTTTCCTTTACTGCATGACAGGGGAACCACATAATCCTGATTTGTGACCTGTTTTTCTGTTGCATTATATTTCATAGAGTGAGGTAACATCACAGCCACAGCTTCTATTGGCCTGTTATTAACTTGGACCTTTTAACTGATAGATTTTTATTTGGCTGATTCCTTTGAATTGGGATGTTTTTATCCACGAGAAATGTTTTGGTCTGATACTGTTTTCATTTCCCACAGACGCTGTTAGCCAAGTTCCTGAAGTTAAAAACCATTTTTTTAGTTGGCCCTATTAAATTTCAGTACTGTCTGGGAGAGAGCATTGAAAATGTATTGGTACAGGTGTCATACAGTAGTTTCAGAGTATTTGGGTGTTCTTGGTTTTTTCTGCCTTGTTATATTAAACACCACAGCAGAACCCCAGTGCATGTCAGTGTGCTCAAGCTGGATGTGTGCTTGCAGCTTTTGTACTGCAGACACGCATCTAGAACATTAAAGTGGTGCACAATCGTGCCTTTAACATTGTCGTTGAATTTCCTCTCGTGACAATGCGTCATTGCCTAGTCAGCTCCTACTGTCCTCTCTCCTTCTGGCCTTTCTGCCTCCATCTCACACCACTCTCTTTATTCACACCTTCAGAATATGCTGCAGGGTCTCTCCTGGAATCCTATTTTATATCTCGCTTAAACACCTTGTAATTACATTTTATTACATACCTTGAGCAATAAATCAGAGGAGTTTTTAAAGCAGAGTAACTCAAAACCTACGGGAGTAAAACACAAATCCTTCAGGGTGGAGTTACAGTTCTTCGCTGCGAAGGATAATGTCCGTCGTGTAAATCTAGAAGTTTGGTACCACGACTCCAGTGCTCCCTGCAGTGAGAGAGCCACTGGCAGGTACAGAGGGGATTGTTTACAGGAAAACAAGCTCAAGGCGGGGAGTGCATGCAGTGTAGCTCTGAGAACAGCTGCCATACAGCTCTCAAGTGTGTAATTGTATCTGAATAGATCGTTAGGAGTCAGCAGTAAGTGGGGGGGGTGTCTGTTGTAATGAACACTAGATTGTATTTGTTGACTGTAAAGCCCCCGGTCACACAACCTTACCAAGCTTGCTTATTTTTGGTTTTAATATGCAAGTTGTATATGGATGAAGGCCATTAGACAAGATTTTAATTCAACTGTTAAAGAGATGGTACTGTAAGAATGGCAGCCTGTGATTAATAAGATGGAGAAACAAGTTTTGAGTGAGTACTGTCCACTCACCTGCATCTGGAAAGCACAGCTGCTACAAGGAACCAGCGTGAGAGGAGAACCAGGGAAAACTAGATCACTAGTTCCCAAAGGATGATTGATGGTTGGGCTTTCCAAGTTTGTAACAGTCCGAAACGAATCATTTCATTTTGCATCTTTCTTCTTAAATATTTTGTATTTATTCATGTGGCTCGTGTTTCCTACTGTTGTATTATGGACACTTTCTCTAAAAGGAAAAAAAAGCAAATGCAGTGGCATAACATACAGTATAATGTTTATTTAACAGATGTGGGAACTGCGTCCTCGTTAATATCACGCCCCAGAAACAGTTACTGACTGGTTCAACTACTCTTCTAGGATCTTACTCTATCTTGCTGGGTTCTGTGCAAGACTGGTGCTTCTGCAGCAAGTCTGCATGTTTTATGAATGTCTCAAGTCCCATTGAATACCTGCTCTGGTTTAGAGTGCATTAGCAGACACAGCCCTGAACTTGGACTGAATGCCTCTGGTCACCCCTTCACAGGGCTGTCGAGGAGACCTGCAGAGCATGTCATGCCCATACTGTACATCACACTGTAAGCAGCAGGCTGGTGCAAAAGCACAGGGATGATGAATCTATTCATGTGAAGAACACAGTCCTCTTGCTCTGAAGCTTTAGAATTGCTTTGCTTCCTGTTTCCAGCTTTCCTCAGGTGCTGTGATGTTTTGGACTTCCAAGAGCAATCATCTTCAGTGGTTTGTGAGCTGATGGAGCAGAAGGGAGCTCTGCGCTGCCCATTCCTCGTGCACCTGCCCTCTTTCCCACACTGTCCCAGCTTCTTTTTTCACTCTTGCTGTTTTAAGTGCCGCCCTCCTGTTTTTCCGGAATGTGTGTGCAGACTCCGAGCAGCAGCTGTGTTTTTTTAACCTCCATCCAGCTGTCCTCTGATAGTAAAGAGCAGCCTCTTGCACTGATTGGCTGTGGTCCCCTTACAGTGTGTCCAGCTCAGACCTGATTGGCTGATGCCTTCATGCTCAGGCTCTGAAGGATCCCTGTGTGGTCTCTCTCACTGGCACACTAATGTCGAAGACCATTGGAAAAACTGACCACAGCCTACAGCAGGTGTCTCCTGCAGGTCCTGGAAAGTTCAGCTTTTCTTGTTTTTTTCCAGTTAAATGTTACTTTATTGAACAAATTATACACTTGATTTGTTCATTGCGGTGGTCAGACGGTTTGTAGCAGACATCTCTCACACATGCTGGTCATCTCTGGCTGAGATTCAGATTACCATGAAGCCATGCAGCACAGAGGCAAGCACATCCTCTGAGTCAAATGGGTCTGTAATTGGACCCAGAGGGTTTGTAGCCAGAGATTCATGTTGCTGTGACATTGCATGGGCCCTGTTACACCTCCACTGCTCTGTGTGTTATGAATTATCCCCTTTTCTGTCCTCAGTGCTTTAAAACCTCATCTTCCCTGTCCCTGCTTGTGTTTCAGGTTTTTAATAACCCCTCTAATCTTCTCTGCACCAGCCTGAAAATATTCACTCCCCTTAATCTGGTGGTGTACCACGGTCCTCTCAGTCTGGGCTATTATTACATTTTGCTCAGACTTCCTGTCTAGAATGACAAAAGTATTTATTATTAGTAGAATTAAAAACAGCATCACCATTAATGAATGCTTGGTAGTGTATCAGATGCTTGATTTAAAATAGCTACCGAACACTTCAGTTTGTTGGGCCTGTTAGAGACTGATGTCCTCTTGAGTGCGATGCAAATGTGGGACAGAATTTTTTGATCCAGAAAAACAAAAGTCTGTCCTCCCCTCCGTCCATTTGTTTTATCCAGTACAGAGTCCCGGCAAGCAACAGGCACAGGCAAGATGCACCCTGGATGGGACGCCAGTCCAAAACCAAAAGTAAAATTTAAAAAAATAATTGATCCACGTCAGAGCATCTTTTCTTAAATGTCTGATCAATACCGTTTGCAACTACAATTCCTGTCACTGAACCACAGCCTTGAAATGTTTCCACTGCTAATCTGGCCTCTGCTTTTAGTGCATTGTAATGAAATCACAAACACCATCTGTGTTCACACCTAGCATTGAAAACAGACTGAAGGCAGGTGATTTCTGGTTTGATAATCCAGGCACTAGTCATTCTTTTCTGAGAATCTGCAAAAAAAATACAGACCTTATAATGAAGTATTTGTACATGGGCTTTACTCTTGTCCTTGCATTTCTCATGGGTATAGAAGGTTCTGATTTTCATCAGTATGTAGTCTAATTGCTCACCTATGAAACCATCTGATATCTGGCTTCAGATAATTGTTTGGGATTTGTCTGTGTGCCCACATTTTTTCATGAAAGCTCTTTGATTCAAGTAAAACTAAGAATCCCATGCTGCTATTGAGAGGAATAGCAAGTTTTAAAATGGACACTAATTTATAAAGGGTGACATTTGTACAGTAATTATTATTCCTCTTCAGTCTCAGGCATCAGAGTCAAGAAGAAGCTTTTTTTACACATGTGATCTGGACACAAGCTGAACTCCAGCCTAAGTGTCTTAGCAGCAAAACAGATCTCAGATACTGTTTCAACAGGAGACTTCAAGTGAACTCTATTATTACTTATTTTATGGTAAACTAAAGATCTGTGTTCCCAGTTCCAGAAATGTTAGCTTAAATCTTAAATTAAGTTCTTGTAACTGCTTAAAGGTATCGTATTTAAATATGAACACTAACATCCTTCCAGCATGTCTACATGGATTTCTGAGTCAAAGACTCATAAAATAAACAGCCTATTAAAAGGTTCCTGTATTACATTTAGCTTAGTGTTTGTGCACCTTGCAATATTTGTTCGTTTTAAACCTGACTGATAAAACAGTTAACTCATGCTGCAACCATAGGTAATGACTGCAGAACTGTGCTAAGGCTGGGGTAAAACTGTAGAAAAATCACTATTAACAGTGCAGAAATGCTAAGCTAAATTTATCAATGTGAAGTTTCATTAAGGTAGCTTTAATAACTCACTGGCGGCTTCACACATGTGAAGATATGGTCCTGCTATCATAATACATACTGTACAAGTTTTTATAATGTATCTTCTCCTGAATGCACTGGTAAAGTATATTCCAAACACTACTGGAATTATGATTTTAGTTTTAACTTTATTATTACTGAAAATCTGAAAAAAAGTACTACAACTGTTCTGGTAGTACTTTTTTGCTCATGGAAATTGTTTTATTTTCTAGGATAACACGGTGTTTTGGTGATATTCAGGAGGAGAATACCTCCACTTCTGCCCTGTCCTTTCAAGATCTGGAAATATGGAAGAATCCTTTGCCAGGATCCTCAGGTAAAGAGAACTCTGTTGTCCATTTTACTTCTTTAAAGTTCAGAACTTCAGCGCATGTCTTCTGTTATTCTTACATGATAAAATTATGAGTCTGTAGACCTTTTGGTTGCTGCGTATCATGAGGTCATTAAAAAAAAGTTGTGATTTTAATTTTAAACGTCTTGTTTGTGTTTGGTTGCACGTCTTCAAGACAAGTGCATATCAATAGAAAATGCTCTCTTTTTTTATGTGGATAGTGCATCGTTTTAGACCCCACTTTGCAATGTCCCGAGTGCTGCTCGTTAGCCCTCTGCTGTAATCCTCCTTCCAGCAGAGGAGAGGCAAAGTGAAGCCACAGTGGTGTGACCAGCCCCAGCCCCAGCCCAAGCCCTGGCAGTGCTCGCTCACTGGCCTGCTGCTGCTTGGGGAGTCCTGGGCTTGGGTGGGGGACGCCATAGTCCGGGCTGGACTCATGGTCTCTGGTCTCTATGAAAAGACCCAGATTTGGATCACAGAGCACAAACACCAAGATGAGCAAGTCATTTCCCAGTTATTAAGAGCAAAGCCAGTTAGTTGTGCTACAGGGTGATGGTGTAACCTTGGTTTGTGCAGGAAGCTGAAATACAGTTAGTGACCGTGGTTGGCACAACTTTTTAGATGTGGGAATTTTGATGATGTGTCAACGTGCATAAGTGTCTTTCCTTTTCATTTTAGAAGAGAAACATCTCAGAGATGCTTTCTCTCAGCACCCTCTTATATAAACTTATATAAGTAGGTGATGTTGACAGCAGGAACTGAAAAATTCAGAATAAAGTTCTCCAGAGTGAGCAACAAAGCTGGTCTTTGGATATCTAGCAAGACTTAAGTAAACCTATGGGAAAAAAACCTTGTGTATTCTGTGAGGTCTAGAGTTCTCTTGTTTCACTGTCTGCTCACTCTCCTGGACCTCTAGGAATCTTCTGCTGTCCCTTCCCGGAAATATGCAGCTGGGTGCAAGGAGCGACTTTGGTCACTCCTGTTCTTCACCTGCATTGCTGGCAGTCTTGCTAGATGCCGTGAGCACATTTCTAACACTGGGACTGTTCTTCTGCTGCCATGCTGCAGTTAAGATCTCTCAACTCGGCCTTTCTCTGCCTCCCCGAGGGAGGTCTTGGACAGGGCAGTCTAGGGGGGAAGGCGAGTGGGAGTCAGTGGCAGGAAGGTGTCATCGGCCAGATGCTCTTGTGTGCCGCTGAACTACTGTAAGTGGTGCACATCTGCAGCAAAACAGCCAAGACTCTCCTACAGTAACCGTTGTTGCACAGGCTGTACCTTGGGAGCACTGAGTTGCCAAACTCTGGTACAGAACACTGCTAGTCCAACATCCATTTAAGAAGATAAAAAGAGTGCAAACAAGAGGAGGCCATCTAGTCCATTTAGCCTGTTATGTAGTTAGTAGCTTATTCCAGGATATCATCTTCAACAGCATGGCTGGGTAGCCTGGTCTATACTCCCACGACCCTTTGGGTACAGAACTGCCTTCCCTTGTCAGTTTTAAATGCACTTCCACTTACAGTAGTTTCCACTTGTCCTCTGATTTGCACTGTTCATTCTGAAGAAATCTGCTGGGTTAACTTTGTCAGTGTCTTGGAATCAATTTCCACTACCTTGGGCTGGCACCAAGTATGCTGCTTTATATGCACATGTGCACTCAGTTGTGTCAAAAACAACTCTAGGGTATAATTTGTGTAACTTAAGAGAAGCTCTTGTGCTCCCTCAATGCAAATGCTGTTTCACTCCACTGTGGCTTTCCTGCTGCCGTGTAGTGTGTGGGATTGTTTTATGAAGAATGGGGATTTATTGTTTCACGTTTACTTCTTACAGTCTCTGTACAGGACTCTGCACCTTTATTTTCTTATTCAAACATTTACACCTTATTCTGTACATTTTGTACATGTACAAAATGTGGGTGAGATTAATCTCACCCATAACATCAATGTGATTCTTCTGTCTTTTACTTGCATAAATGCATAAAATGAATTTTTGTCTCCTGGAAGATGTTGTTATCTATTGCGTTGTGCCGTCTTTGAAGTGATTCCAGTCCTCAGGAGAAGTGCAGTCCAAACCTCTAACAGCCCACCCAACATTTAGCGTCTGGCTGTGTATGTCCCTGTGATTTCCAGAATCATTTAATGTGTGTACTTTGTTTCAATTATACAAGTTCTCTAACCCAGTGAGATGAGCAGATGAGAGAGAAAAGGCTGAGCCCAGAGTGCAGTCCAGGAATCCAGATGTGGACTAACTCGGGCACTAAACTGCTTCTGCATAGACTCACATGACATGATTTGTATTCTGTGCTCTTTGCCATGAATCCAAGTTTCCTATTTACCTTTTTCACTTCTCCTGTCGTGGCCTACATGCTGGCAGTGATGTATCTAGTGAGATTCCTAATTATTTATATTTAACTTTATTTCCATGTATGTGCCATTTCTCATTTTAATCTGGATTGTCTTGCATTGTCCATTTTGCATTCTGGGTGCTGAAAATTCCTTCCTGCTTCAGTACTTAATTTTCTGTAGTGTAGTTATGTACAGATGATCCTGGTTCTTAGCTATTTTTTTAAAAAAGCGACATTAATACTAATGTTTGGTGTATTGAAATGAGCTTGTCATCTTAGCTAATCACCACATTGATGGCCAAATGCGAATTACAGTAGACTGTGTTCTATTTAGTTACCTTGTAAGTCCTCAATGACATCTCTTAAAGGGGAACTGCAACACTATTTTTATATTCCGGGGTTAGAAAGAATCAGCATTGACGAGTGCATTTCAGACCACAATGAAATTAAAATGCGCATGATAAGGTCATGATCTTAGGCCCCTCCTCTTAAGGACGCTCCGGCTCTCCCTTGTTTATCTTTGATTTCCTGCACCTGCCTCCGGTTCCAGCCCCCTTCCTATAAAAGCCAGACACTCCCACCAATCTGGGCTCAGCTTTGGAAGACGGACTCCTGGAAGCCCGCCTACCAGCGAGTCCAGGAGAGGCTCGACGGCATCGGCTTCACAACGGCGTCCTGACCATCTGGGTCCGGGACTGGAGTGCCTGGCCCCGTTACCACCTTTTATTCCCTCGACCCCTCGCCGGATCCTGTTTGGCTTTTAACTCTTGTCTTGTTCGACTTGGATGGACCTCCCGGCTCTGGACATTTGCTCACCCATGGATTTTCCTACGGACTCCCTTTGGACTTGTTTTCCTTGGCCATGCCCCCCAAGCACCAGCGCACCTTGGACACACCCCCTTGTTCTACTTCCAGCCCTGATCGTAGTCTTTCTTCCCGTGTTTGTTGCAGTCCCATCTGGATTTTATCATTTGCATGGGGTCCTGAAAAACGCTTCGTGACAGATAATGTGTAAAACCCCCAATTTCTATCACAAAATAGACAACATTTCTAGGTTTGTAGGGCGTCACATCGCCATCATTGTCTGTGATTCAGAACAGGGCAACAAAACACCTGGTGATATGAAGCAGCCCAATGACATTGTAAACAAGCAGGCTTGTGAATACATCTTTTTTAATCCAATAGAAATTTTGCCCTTGACTTCGAGATTGTTTTGCCAACCAATACTACTTGTTAACTGCATGCAGATCACATTGGAACATTTCTGCAGTGAAATGTCTGCTGCACAACCTGTACTCTTTTCGCTTGTACATCACATTGCATTAATCATTATAGGGACTAGTGAGCAGGAAGGGCCGCATCACAATACAATTCACACAAACTCTCGCTCTCGCCTGTGACGAGGCTGTGCAACATGCAACATACGACAACATGGCGGCTTATAGTACTTTCACAAAATTCATGATTTTGTGCTTGGTTTGGAATTTGTAAAATTTGTGATACCCTCAATTAATTTTTTGTTACTGTGATTTAATACCCAGTCTGATAAATTAGAACTGCAGCTCCTGTTTATCTCAAATCCTACAAAAGAGTACAAATTTATTTTTTTCTCTGTGATGGGCCATAAACCAGGAGATTTAAATGACAAGTGACTTGTTATTCTTGGAACAGGAGAGCAGGCTTCTAGAATGATGCTGCACTGTGGTACTTAAAGTAGAATGCTGTTGTAATTACCACATTACTTGCAGAGCACTTGTGATAGTGTACAGGTATCTAGTCTTAGTTCACACATAAGATCCCAGGGTCACAATTAAGGACGGTATGTACATCCTGGTCAGTTAGTTGCTAATTTATTTGCTTGTTGGTCCCTTAGACTTAATCAGATTGCTTCTTGAATGAACACAGCTGTTAGAGGTTGTCTGGTTTCTTCCGGTAATGCCTCTTGGGCACATGTCCAGCAATGAAGCACTGCCGAGCATTCTTAATTACTGTACCCTGAAGTTATGGCTTTGAAAAGAATGCAGACCAGGTACATATTTTCTGGTCTTATGGCTCAGGGCATTCCATTTTTACAAGAGCATGGGGATAAAACAGGCACAAACAGCTCAGTACATCGCGTGCTTATTCACATGATGCAGAAAAACAATATAATTTCTATTTGAACTGAATATTCAGAGAAAATACTGTACCCTTTAGGAACAGAGGTCACAAAGATGTATTTTCACATATGTACTGTATTAAGGGAACAACACAAAAATGTTTGGAATGTGGCCGTTCGTCTCGGTTTCTTAAAATCGTTTAAAATAATTGGAGTGTCATTTGTATTGTTATTAAACAGGTTCCAGTTCTGAATTTTCATTTTCACTTGGCTGTGTTAAAAGTTTATTTTTTCTCCAAGGAAGAAATTCTAAAGTACATCAAAATCTTCTATATTTGGTCAGGCACACTTAGCGTTTTGAAAGAGCATAAGGAAGGCAGCCTGCTTTCAGTGCACTAGAGCATTGCCACCATAGAGGTTGTACCACAAAAATCACCTGCCTGTGGATGAGCTGTACACCTGCTGTCTGAGGCACATGCATGTGTTCCTAACCTTGAGTCAAACCGGGATTCCTTCACATTCAGTCAAGAGTACAATGATTATGAGTTAAAATCTTAACGTGAAGAAAAAAACATTTAATGGTAATTGAATTCAGATAATTTAAATATCTGTTTCTTATTAAGTGTATGTTGAGGAAAATGTGGAATCAAAGCCAAAAAGAGAAAACACTCTAAGTACTCCATAGTAAGCAAGAAAAGAATACTTCTAAACTTGAACAGGAATGGAAATTTCACTAAGAAGATTCAGGAGAGGGGAGTGCCTGATTGCAGTATATAAAATACAAACACCAAAAACCACCAGTTACATACAGAGAAACAGAAGCTTCTTATATCTGATTGGAAGATACTCATGAACTTATTTGCACTTGGGTGGTACTGCTTGAATATCGCAGATGTGGACTGTGCTTGTTCTCGCCAGTCCCACTGGCTGATCTAATTCTGAGAAGGATATGATATAATTTGGCTTCAGATTGTTGGAATCTGCCTTGGACTGTTCCTAAAAAAAAATAAATAGAAACAGCCATTATGAATGAGAACTTGACTTCTAAGCAAGGATTCATGACATTGAGCAAATGCCAAAGCTAAGCCTGTACACATGGCCGAAAAGTACAGTAGTCACTCCAATGGACTATACCCTGCCAGCCGAGTACATTTATAAGTCATACTCATTTTTTAGTTTATTAGTGTTATCAAATGTACTGTATACTGCTTTTGCTACAGTAGGTATCATCCTGATGCTTTGGCCACGTTTTGAGTCACTGTAACTGCTCCATCAGTGTGAAACAATGTAATTGGTGCTTTCCCTGATGGCAACGGCATCATACAAATATAAAGGTTACTTAAGTGAGAAGGCCACATGGACTGTCTTCAAGGTGTTTCCATCTCCTATTGATTGCATGAATTAAATAACTTAGGCAAACCTTATTTTCAAGACTACATGTGTTTAGTAGTTTTGTAATAATTGGTTTTGCACTTTATTGAGGGTGAATAAAAACATTGATGAATTCCTGAACATGGCTGTGCACGGCTGAAGGGAGAGCCTGTGTGCTCAGAGGCTGCCATCAGTCTGAGGCCTGTGAGCTCAGCCCATCAGTCGCAAGCCTGGGTACGCTCCTGGGATGAAGAGCAGGCTTGGGTGACCAGGGCCCAGAGTTCTCCTGCAGTGATCACTTATCACACCCATAGTGAATAGACTCTCACCTGGGCCAGAGTTAATCTACCAATGTCAGCTGGAGAGTCTTGGAATCTTTTCTCAGCAACACAGCCCACAGTGCCCACAGGCTGAGCTCCTTTAGCAGGATCTGTGTGATTTTGTCCGGTACCAGCAAGACTGCACACTCATCCTGCCTTGTGCCTCTGTGAGCTGTAGGCTTATTTTGCTTATTTTATTTGGGCTTATTATTTTTTAAAGTGGCATTCTAATGAAAATGATCACAGGTAAAAAATACAAATTTAGTAGCATAATTTTAGCGAAATAATGATTGCTAGTAAAACTAATCACACTATACTTACACGTTTTAATGAAAAAAACTCATAGGGATGTATTGGCGATCTGTCCCTTAATATACTCTTTGGTGTGCTTCCTCATATCTTGTCGTGTTTTTTTTCCCCATCTGCTTCTCATGACAGTCAACCTGATTTCTTTCTCCTGTGTAGAATTCCCGTGCTTCTGTTACTGATTGGTCCGACCCTGGTGGATTGTCAGCACACAGTGGAACACAGAAAGGTAAACGTCTCAAACTGAGTTTGGTTACTTTTTGAGGAGCCAGTTTCTATCCAGAGGACAGAACATCTGGATGGGTGAAACCCAGTCATTTCACCTGCTGCAGTGTTCTGGGAATTAACTTGTCGGCATGAGTAGCTCCCCAGTGAGCAAATCCAGAAAAGGCAGCAGTTTTTACAAAAAGAAAAAAATGTGATGAATTCATTTCAGTGCAGGTGTAACATTTGGAAATTGTAAAGTGGCAATCTCCATTAGCTCTTCAACTTTAAAATCATCTCCAAAATAATAACAATAATCACCAAAATAATTTCTTGCTCTTCTAAACACATTGTAAAAAGCATGAAGATATTGTGCACTTACTGTAATACATCCCCAGAGACACTACTTCTACAATATCAGTAACATATGGGTAAAATATTTCCTCTGAAAATTAAAAAAAATCCTCTTAATCTTAATCGATTGGCTTCTGCGAAACACAAGCCAAGGAGCAGCAGCTGCTGACAGATGACAGATGAAATTATGTCAAGTGTTACAGCACATGTATCAGTATAAACAGCTTTAGGATCATTATCCCAGAGCACCAGATTCCTAAAAAGAGCTTCGGTCTTGTGGGATTTGCATTTTCATGTTTCTGCATAAGAATCTTCTCATCTGAGACCTCCCATGCTGCTCCTCATTGTACTTGACATTAACATAACTGACATTCACAAGCATTTTAATTTTCTTCACCAATATTAGGTATGATTATGATTTTCAGGTCAGTTGTAGAAAATTTGTATCCCCAAGTTTCCAAGTCACAAAAAGTAAGTCAACCCTTGATTAATGTGATTAGTTAAGAAATGTTCTGAGCACACTTAATTAAATAACTTAAGTTAATGACTTTATGAAGGAAATTTAAATACCCATGCGGATTAATAAAGTATATTAAATAGAACAACTAAACATATTCCCCTTGAGTTAAATGACAACTCCATCGCCCAGTCAACCCAAGCTGTCTTCAGTGTTCTAATGAAGAGATTCCAAAGGGAAGTTCCAATCCATTAAAATCTGTGAACTAATCGCAATTCTTTTCCTTTGCAGTGTTTCAAGGGAAAACATGATCATAAAAGCATTTTGAACACAAAGGAGCATGAGGAAATAATTTAGTGATATTATAAATTTCTCAGTTTAAAGAATATATTAGGCCAGTCTTTCTTTTCTGACTGTCTCTATCAAAGACGCTCTTCATTGTGCTCTGGCAGCTGGATGAAAGCACGTGTGGAAAGGGCCATTTGTACTCCGTTCAGAGCAGGAGCAACTCTAAAAGCCAAGTTAAGCAACTGGCATTTAAGCTTATCCCTTCCCTGTCTGTCCCTGGTTTCATCTGACCCTAATGTGTCCCTGTTGTGCAGTGAGTGTGGTTTTAAAGCGCTTTATATCCTCAAAAATGTCCAGACCCAGGTGGTGCTCAGTCACCTGCTGCAGTATTTCTTATGAAAGAGAAGAACTTTATAGAAGCCTGTGATGTGAAAGCTCTTTAGGAAAAGGAACAATGTAAATGATATTGATGTCTGATGTACATGGAAAGATAATGAAAATGAAGCACTGGAATAGTTCCTCCCAGGAAAGAGCGCGTACAGTGTGTAAAGTTTGTCAGTGGCAGGATGGTGACCTCTGCTGGTTAGATCACAATTGGATGCCCCTGAATTATGCAGTTTTATTGTAGAGTCGCAGCTTCCTGTGAGGAACAGCAGTGAACTCCTCCGCTAAAATAATGTATTTAACAGCAGAATAATACAGATAGGAGAGATTCCATTTTTCACACAAGCAGTAGCTTTGATGAATGGACAGAAAAGCAGAAGTGTCAGTGGAGGAGCACAGCTGGTTTATTGTGATTTCTTAGTCTGGGTTATTTTTGTCACCCTGAGCGTCATCCTCAAGGAGCTTGAAAGTCAGAATTCGGTGGTCTAGGTGTAGGATCATTATCGCAGATTCAGAAATAACACATTTACATGCTTCAAATTCTAGTGCACGACCCTTAAGAACCTGTAGCCATCTACCCTGTCTGTGTAGTGCTGCAGAACATGGATACCAGGTAGAAGGTTTCATATATACAGTAACTATTAGACAATGACTTCTTTAGACCTACAGGTTCAGACATGTTTTCTCAACTATACCTATTAACTGAATTCTACAGTACAACTACAGCTATTGTTGCAGTTTAATTTTATATGTAATATATAGACAATATTGTCAGCATAACGGTTTTTGTTGATTCAGAGAACATCTAATAAACTTGAGTCAGTCCATCAGTCAGGGGGCATGTAGACCCAGCTGATCTCCCAATCTGTGATCACTGAGCAGCTCCCCATACCTGCAGCTGCAGAGACTGGGGCTGGGCTGAGATTATTAGCTACCAGTGCCAAGAGCAGGGTGATGATCAAGGACCGGGCTCAAGTACCTACAGCTTAGTCCGCATCCTTGGTCCCCTTTGCAGGCAACTAAGGAAACAAAGGGGCGAGTTATGCATTTTATGCTAATGTATTTTATGGAAATTATACATAAAGCATTGATATTGTAAATATGAAATGTTACCCAGTACTAATTTGGGCTTTAAGAGAGTTAGGTTGGTTACACTGCAATGCCGATGCCCTGTTCGTATGGTGCCTGGCTGCAGATTGTGCTCTCCAGTAGGGCTGAGCTGGGGGTGAGGTTGTGACTCATTGCCCTAAGCAGAGCAAACGGGCCAGACTGGCTGCAGTGACACTGAGCAGCTGCTAGAGGCCGCTGTGGTGTGTAGTGAGCAAACAGCTGTGCGCACACAGATACTGCATGTTTGCATACACGCTGAGGCTGGCGACCAGACTCCTGCTGGCCAGCGACCTGCAGCTGTGAAGGGCAGATATAAAACCCTTTACAAACCCAGATTTAGAGGTGCAGTTGAATCACCCTCTCTTGGCACAAGCATCAAAAATAGAAAACTTCGAGATCATTGGTGGACGATGGTTTATTGTGAACAACTGGGATTTAACTATTATTCATAGGGCAACAGGTGGCCTTTGCCTTAGTTAAAATCCTATTTATATAAGATGCAGTGCTTCTAGGGTGGTGCTCATTCTCCAGTAAGCAAAAAAAGTACAACAGTACAACAGGGGAGATCTTCTTCACATGGTGGTAGTAGTGGGATAGTGTTCTCTAGAAGAGCTTAGCACAGATACAGCTTCAACCATCATGCAGTAGAATCAGAGGAGGTTCGAGTAGGGAGCTGAGTCAGAATGCACAGGCTGCAAAGGGACATCCAAAGCTGTCTCCATAGCCTAAACTTTGTTTCTTTTCTTTAGCTTTCAGCATGGAAAGTACCCTTTCTTGTTCCATGGCAAAATTAGAGGAGTTTTCCTTCTCCTTTTTTTCTATAATGGGGGAATTAGTTAAGGCTTTATGCAGGCAATTGCTACAGAGCAAGCCACCAAAACAACAGCCATGAGTTTATCACAAAGAAGCTTGCAAATATTTTAACTTTTAAAAGAAGCCCCTTGAGCTAATGTCTAAAAGGAGTCTAATGTCTAAACAGTCCTTACAGACTTCATTTCTGGTCTTTAAAACCTGTGGTCATTTAGTAGGACCTCAGGTGCTCGACCTTCTATACATTGTTTGGGAATGGTTGCAACCCAAGATGAACAGGTCTACCACAATCGTGGAAGTGATGGGGTTATGCAAATACTGGACCATAAGGCAGCACTGAGGGTGAAGAAATCAGGCAGCCCATCTTTAGGTACCTGCATTGTCTAGCATGCAGTAGTAATAAAGGAGCAGCCACACTAACAACGATGATGTCCATGGGAATATCATGTCTTAGGTGAGCAATCCCTTGAGAGCAATAATTCTGAATGAATTATCTGTTTTTCATATTGCAGCTATTGGAACCAGTTTCCACTAGATTCTGAGAAATGATCTGTATAATAGTTTCAACTCATAGCCTCATGCATATAAAATAGATTTGTGATGTCAAAACATTTTCAAGCGGTCTAGATGTTTAAGCATGCATGCTTAACTCCACATCTCGATGGAGTTTCCATTGTTATTGTGCAAGGGAGTATCTTCACCTGGCAGATATTTCCCATGGACAAAAGCACAGGGAATTGAGTACCTATAAAATTTAGATGTTATCTGTTAAAAAGACCAAGTTAGCAAGCAGGTCCCTGTTAAAAAATTGAGATATAATATTGATTAGTAATGCCCTTTTAAGATTCAAATGTGACTGCTCTTCGTCCTGTCAAAACGTTTTTTAGTTAGAAAACATTTTTTCTAATCAACCTACAGACATCATTACTTTGGTTTTTAGTTTTCAGTTTAAAACAATATTTCACGTAGAATACAGTCAAAAAAGATACAGCATATGAATATATCTCATTGTGAGTTTTACAATTATTCATTTTCTGTGAATCTGTGAAGAATTTGTAAAATAAGTCATTTGTCCTCCCAATCCCATCAGATAGCATTGAAGTAGGAGGCAAGCTTTTCAAATATATATCCTCCGTCCTTTTAGAGAATGTGATTAAGGCTAAATCTGATATTTACTGTATAACTTCATTATTATGTTAAAGAAAACCTCTGCTTCCATACAGTAAGTTGCCTTCAATGAGGATATTGTATACTGTCAAAGACTGGAACAGGATCCACAAATCCACAAATTTGTGAATCCACAAATTTCACAGTTTCTAATTCCAGTTCCTGTCTTTTTCACTGAGTGCCAATAAGAGGCATTGTTTTTAAAACTTTCCATGTTTTAACAGTCTATGTCCTTGTGTCCTCTCCGTTGTGAAGGTTTATTACAGAGACTATTGCAGAGATTGTGAAGGCAGGTTGACAGGAGTAAGAGTTTGAAATGAGTCAAACAGGATTTTTGATGTATACAATGTTAATCTATAGACTAGAGGTCTATCAGTGTCTGAGGCACAGATAACACCTCTGTTTCTGCTCTAATCATGGCGATAACTCCCATCACCCTGCTCTTCCGTAGGTCCCCCAGAGGATAGGACCGCAGCAGGACGCCGCAGACGGGAGGGGGGAGGTGTCGGGGTCCTGGGGCCCCTGGGGGCCCTGGGCGGCGTGCTCGCGCTCCTGTGGCGGGGGTGTGAGGGAGCAGACGCGCCCCTGCCTGGCCTACCCCCAGGAGGTGGCGAGAGTCCCTCACGGGGTGCCCCCCCACACGTTGGCCCCAGGCCGAGTGGTGTCAGCGCTGCGCCCCTCGGTCCCGCTGCACCGCCCCGGCCGGCCGCCTCGCTCCAATGACACGCACCCCCAGAGCGCGGGCGGGCCGGCGCAGAGCTCGAGGCCTGGCCACAGGTGAGGGACTCTCGCACCCTTTCCCTTCCTGCAGAGCTGAATCTGGCTGCCAAGGAAGTTACTTCAGTTACAATACAGTGATGCGATTTGCATGGGATGCAATGCTGGGTTGTAACTGTCTTGAATAAACTGTCACTATGTCAGGCACCTTGCATTTCTGCTTCCTTGTAAAAAGATAAAACACCAGTACTCCCCAAATACAGGTCTACAAACTAAAGCACTCATTACCTGCCTTACCTGGGCTTGACCTTTGACTTTCCCTTCCTCATTCAGGCACCGCGCTCAAGGGCTTCCCGTGGGAGCCTGCGGCTCGGGGCAGCTCGCGAGTCGCGAAGTGAGACTTATCTCACAGCACTGCAGGGACAGGCCGATGGCAACCCATGCAGCTCTGGAGACAGCCGTTGTTATTTAGACATTTTTGTACCTACAAACATCTTGCAAATCTAACTAGGACAACTTTGAAAAAAAATTCAACGCATTAGGACAGATATTTGTGTTATTTTTTACTCTATTCAGTTGAATGCTATTGACGTGTTGGAACACATCTTCTAGGGAAACGGCAAACCTATTTAGAAATTTCAGGGTTAGAAAGAATCAGCACTGGTGGCTGCATTTCAAACCACAATAAAAGTAAAATGTACAGAGTAACCTATACAATCTCCAATTTACATCACAAGATAGACTAAATGTCCAGATACACCCAGCAACATGTTCTGATTTCAGAACGCGGCACCTAAACTTCCGTTGATGTGTTGTGGCCTTATTACATTGTTAACAATCAGGCTTCTGAATACATCTCTTTTAATCCGATAGAAATATTGCTCTTGAGTTTGATATAGTTTTTCTGACAAATACCATTTACTTGTTAACTCTGCATGCAGATCACGTCGGAACATCTCTGCGGTGAAATATCTGCTGCACTGCTCATAGATCACATTACTTTTGTCATTACAGTGACTAATGAGCAGAAAGGGACCTTGTGATGGGAGCATGTGTTAACATAGCAACTTACAGTACTTTAATCAAGTTCGTTTCTTGCTTAATTTGGAATTGGTACAATTTTTCATCAATTAATTTATTTTATTACCGAGATTTAGTAGTCGGTGAAACATTTTACAGTGCATTCTGTTTAGTGTCAGTCTAGTTGAAATTTGAAACAAAGTACAGCGCTCCATCCTGTAATGGACTTGACTCCCTTCCAATTAAACTCTTTTTTTTAAATTGCCTTCACATTCTGTTTTGCACGTCTCCTATTTTTGTGCTGTTCCTGTGAGCCCCTTTTAAAAAGGCTTAAAATAAACAAGATGGCAGTTGACTAACGGTCCTTTTTTAATGGGAAACCAAAGCAACAAAAAACGTTACCAAAACTTGGAGTAGCTGCTAAGAACAATTTAATTTAAATGCTCTCAGTATAATAAGTGATGCATTTCCTTTGACAAAAGTCCCAGAGAGAGTGTCCATGAATACCACATTCCATTTTGTAAATTTGTCTTGATGACACCTCGTGACTTCAACAAGGAGTACTTTGTGACCAGAAGATCCGGCTCCTTTCAAAGAATGAACTTCGTGAACGAAATAAAGAGCGAGTCACACATGAGACTCCAAGCAAAAGAGGTGCAGACTGAAGGTCTAATTCCATTTATTTAGACTGTTTTCTAAGTTTAAGGTTTTAAACCTACAAAATGAAGTTTAGAAAATGTAATTACCTTATTAAAAACAGCCAGACAGATGTACTAATTATTTCAATTAATCAGTCATACAGTGTTTTGGTCTTCAGAAAATCCAGAATCAAATCCTGCTAATAAACTCTTCTGAGTTGTGTTGCCAATGACCTTTGTGACCAGAATAAGCACCAGCAGCACACTGCCTGTTCACTGTACTTAGACCTCTGAACTGTTCCTTGCTTTTCCCACAGGGGTAGCAGTGAGAAACAGATCACGCCAGGGAGATATGGCTATGGTAAACTTCCCTACATCGTGCCACTCAAGACAGACACTGGGCAGGGGCAGAGGGCCCCCAGACCTCGTAGACAGCGCCAGGCCTCCCACCCTCGTAGGAGAGGGCAAGGCCAGGGGTACAGACAGCAGAACCCACACCCGGGATATGACACGGGAAACGGCATCTACCGCGGCTCTCAGAGCAGAACCCATCACGCCAGGACTTCTATATACCAGCCCGCCCAGAGCCAGTATCCGGGCAGCGGGTCGTCTCTGCTCCTCTCTCCTCACCTCAGATACCCCGGCCCGGGCGTGACCACTATTAAATGTGTAGGAGCCCACAAGCAATACAAGATCTGTAACACTAATGTAAGTACAGTACTTCACATCTGCACCCAGAACCGTTCTCAGCATCGTCTGTAAAGAGTGCATTTCCCCCCTTTTCAAATAAGATTTTGCCCGATTGCATTACTCCACCTTTTAAATAAAATATGAGGTATTTATTTTTTCTCAGTTGACATCCCATATAACACTGTCATTTAAGATTGTACTAATATTTAATAAAATAATCAGGTCTTGGAATTGGAATCGAATACAGCCTTACATTTTGCAGGTGCAAGGTTTTTTACTTTAAGGTTGCTTAATTTGTTTTTTCAGTTTTTCCATGAAATGAATGTGGAAAATTCTTCTTCCTTGACTTTTAAATTCTCTCCTCATGTAATTTATAGTTGGCATTTTCTGCACAGCTTATACAGATTTGAATACAAGAGCAGAATGTGCTGTTCTTCCACAAAAATGGATTTAACAATATAGGTGCAAAATGTTGCTTTATTTTCTTTCAATTTTAGAGGAAATTGTACTTTTGTAACCAATCAAATGACTTAATTGTCTTCCTCATCATGAATTCCGCTGTACTTTACAACTTGATTTGAAAATTGGAAAATTGTACTAGAATGTTTTTTTCACAGAAATGTGGTTCAGATTATTTAATTCAACTACCTGCTTAACTGTTTATCTTTGCATCAAATATGTTTTTTTATAGGTGGGTCTCTAGTTACATTTGTAAATCTCATAATAAAGATGGCAATTTCAAGAATTTTACTTACAGCAGCAGAAATAGATAAAAGCCCAGTAGGGGGCAGAGCACATATCTCTGGAAGGTGCTGTACAGCAGGCCAGGTCCATTCAACTCATCTCAGCTGGTGAAGAGGCACCGTGTCCTGGTTTTCATTCAAATTCAAGGCAAAACGTTCTTACTCTTACAACCAAACTCAACACTTTGTTGAAAAAGTCCTTCCCTGTTATACATTGGCTGCTGAAATATATCAATATCCAACCATCAGTAACCAGAAAGCTGTTTACGCTGTCCTGTAAAGGTTATTGGCAACTTGTAACCTATCCTGGAAATCCCAGACACAGGACAGAACGATGTCCTGACTGGGACGCAAGTCCTTCGCAGGACACACAAGCAAGGACACAAAGGGCACCCTGATCCTGTTAATTACAGTTAACGTTTTGCTTTAATAATGTGCAGCTTCTCAGTGAAGTTAACCAAATACTTGATTAACAATAAGATCATCAGACACATATAAACAGTCAAGAATGTGGAATATATCCAATTAAGTTCGTAATTTAGTAACTGAGACTGTTAATATGTAAAAAGTGTACCAGTCTTCCAATAATGTAGGTATCCGAGTAATGTCACAGACCCCAAGAACCAACAAAGACAGCAGTTTCCAGTGTAAGGGCTGAGTGTTACAGATTTGATGTGTTTTTCAAGAGCAAAGTTGTACTCTACCCACTCTCACAAATATCATGTAGTGACTAAGAGAGGATAGTTTTAAGATTTTGTTCTACTTCAAAGAAAGAATTCAACATTACTTGTTAACTATGCAAAATGAGCTTAAACTTTCCAGGCAAATGTATTGATTGAAGTATAATACGTGGAGACAAATTCATGTCTTTGTGATACTTCAATTAATGCAATATATTGCTCTGCATTAGCAAGAGAACTCTGCCAGGACTTGTGCACAGTGGAAAAAGCTTCAACGTGTACAAAGGGAGGAAATCAATGTCTGGGCTAATACTGTAATGAGACTTCAGAAACACCCATGCCTCCATAAAGCTCTACACCTCGCGAATCCACCTTTGTCCAGGGACATGCAGCAATCATTCATGTCTGATGGCGTCCAGTTTCCATTAGAGCTACAGCTGAGGGACGCAGGAATTGGGTTTACTCTTTGCTTGCTCTGGATTTGGGAAAATGTTAATGGGCTTTTAAAAATTGTCTATCTAACCTTTTACTTAACTGTACGCATTATTCTGTGATGGCCTCTCTTTCCCTCAAGAACTGTTCGTGTTCTCTCTTGCTAACCTCAAGAGACTCATGCGTCTTGGCAAGTAAATTAACCAAAATGTCTGCTTTCTTCTTCTTTGCAGGCCTGTCCTTCGAGCAGCCGGAATATTCGTGAGGTGCAGTGCTCCTCCTACAACAACAAACCCTTCATGGGAAGGCTGTACGAGTGGGAGCCGTTCAACGAAGGTAAGACAGCCTGACAAAGTACTGGTGCTCGTGGCTGATCGGACAGCACAATGCCCGACAGAAAAAGATGCAGTCGAGTACTGGGCGGAAATGTGGCACGTCTAGGCAACAGAGATACTGTACGAGGCCTGTGTGAACATCACATAACAAGCTCTTATTCTTTTCTGTGACTGGATGCACAGCCAGGGGTGTGTTTTTTACTGTATTCTGCTTCTTTATTCTTTTGTTGATCGTTCCATGGGATGCAGAAAAAACATGTGTGATGTTTACAAAGAACCAGATTTATTCTCTCTTCGAGGGAAGTCCTGCTTCTAAGACCTACAGTACTTAGACTGAGTTTATCATTACCTTGTCCTTTCCCTTTGCACAGACTTCATTGCTGCTTCTACCTCTAGTCAGTGTCCAGGGTGTGAACTGGTGCCACATGTGACTGCAGAAATGTGGGAGCACCATTGTCAAGTGCGACCACAGCACCACACTGTGATTCTGAATGGGCGTCTGCCTGAATGGGCACTGATGCCAGTGGGCATCGGGTTAAGAACTGCTGTGTCAGTGGTGGTATTGTTATGCTTCTCCATCTTATTTTTATTTACTGTCTTCTTTCAGTCAAATCTTTCACTCTTCTTTTACCTGTAACAACACTTATTGCATTGTTTACATAACACCTCTAAACATTTTCCGCATCTCCTACTCATCGTTTCTCTTTTCCCTTGTGAATGGATTTGTATTAGTTTTTATCTTTCCTCATGGTCCATTTTCCTTCATTTCAGTCTCTGATAAATAAGTACAGTATAACATTTAAATGAAAAGCATTCATAGTGGATAGATACAGTATTTATAGCTCATTATGCTGATGTGATTTTAGTTGCACAATTGAAGGCTGATTTTCAAGCCATTCCATGAAGATCCGGAGGTGGGCTGGGAGCTGCAGCTTTTTATAGCAAATAGTAAAGAAATCTGTGCAGACTTAAAAGAAACTGCATTTGGCTTTACAGTTTCAGGTAAAGGCGTTTAGACAGAACCAATGCTACTGTACTGTATGTGTGGTTTCATTCACAGTTTAAGGGTATTTTATAGGGTTTTTGGCAAAAAAGCAGAGAGTAACATTTAAGGCTCGGTGCACACAAATCTGGCAAGCTGTGTTATTGCAGGCTTCTGTGTTGATCTGTTCAGTCGCAGTGCTCTCAGGTGATCCACTCTTGGAAATGAATAATTTACTCACATTTCTTGAGTGGGGAAAGTGCTCAGTTTCAGTGACCTTTACTTCAGGATTTACTGTAGATTAGGGATATGTTTAGCAAATTGTTTCACTGCAGTCTGGCTAAAAAGGCTGGTCACTGCCAAATCCCCACAAGAACGTCTGCTTTAACAGCTTCATTTACCAGTAAGTAGCTTAAGAAGTTGATACGAAACTTAAAACTACATTAAACCTTTGCATAGTTGAGGTACTGTACTATTATTTTATGTTTTAAATATTGTGCTGTCCTTTAAGATTTTGAATGAGTGATTTCATTATAACTTCTACACAATGTAACCTGGTAGTATTTCAGTACTGTGAAGTTAAACATGTTTTAGTACATTTTCACTTAAACAGCAAAAAAAACAACAACACACAAAATTAATATTATGTGTCTTTTTTTTGGACTCAGACTCAGGTTTGTGTGTTTTAGAATTTGTAATTATTTTATTTAAACAGATTTCTGGCAGCATGATCACAGAATCTGAATGAAAATACACATCAAAGAATAATGATTATTTTTTCATCATGAAACATGAGACAATGTCTAAAGGAAAACTCTGAAAAGTATTGGGTCTGAGCTCCCTCATCATTCACACAATCCTGGACACACTGACACACAAGCTGGGCTCTGGGCAGCCTGCGGACACACAATGCAGCTACAGCTGGATGGAACAGGTTGGCTTGATAAACTTGTCTCCCGTTTGTCCCACAGATGTTCTGCTGGACGCCATATCAATCTTATCTTATCTCAATGTCAGGAGGAAGCAGCAGGTGACATGTCTGCTTGTCCTCATGCACTCTGTCTGCTCTAGGGAACTGTGACCATAAGGCCAGCCTAGTAAACCACGGTATTGGGGTAAAAACAAATTACAGTATTTCAATGTTTTAATTACTATTAATTCATATAGTTTTGAATTTTGCAGAGCATGAGTGAGCTTGTAACAATTGAACTTAAGTCTAATTTTCCCTCATTGTTTAATTACCCTACGGTTTCGGCACTAATCTTTAGGGGATTCACTGGAGTTTTTCATAGCTTTTTTGTTTTTGTCTTCTGTGTGACTTTCAGTTTTGTTGTCATGCAATGTGCTGAGGTGTGTTGGTAAACAGTAAGTAACCTCTGGGCGGGAATTGTGTGGCATTAAAGGGAATGGCAGAGTACTGGATTACTGAACCTGTAAATAAAACAATGAATTAATTGAGAGAGAGGGTCTGCTAGAGAAGTGAATAATTCAATGGTGATAAAAAGCCACATCCCTTGTGTTTGTGTGAAACACAGTATGATCCCTAGAGGATAAACCATTATTGGGAAGGATGAGAATAAACATTTATAAAAAACAAGTAATAGGTTTATTCCATGCTGAAAAAAAGAAGAAAGAGAACACAACGCTTCGGCCGTGGAGCCTTCTTCAGGTGTGCGACACCTGAAGAAGGCTCCACGGCCGAAGCGTTGTGTTCTCTTTTTTCTTTTTTTCAGCATGGAATAAACCTATTACTTGTTCCTTTGCAGCCTACGCATGCTGATGCAGCTCCCCACCTGATTTATAAAAAACTGTTACTCTTAGGTTACTTAATACTTTTGTTTTCTTTGTATTGCTGCCAGCTGTGCTAAGCCTAACACTTAGTGTATCTGCTCATCACTGACTAGGCTGATGCTATTCTGAGGCTGAGCAAAATGTCTTCTCACATGTAAAGTTATAGAAATGATCATCTGAAGGAGACATTTTGCTTAATTTTATTCTAACCGAACCTAAAGCACATTATATGGTCAGAGATTTTCCGAAGGCTTTTGATATCTTTGTTCAAAAGATTAATTCTTAAAAAAAAACAGGCAGTATTCAATCAAGATGTTCATTTGGAGTGAGAACTGGTTAATGAGTGGAAAAGAACAGAATATGGCAGAAGACTCAAGTTGGGGCGATCTAATTAGTGATGTACCACAGTGATCTGTAGTGGGAACACGCCTCTTAATTCACATCATTAATCTAGGTTCTGTATAGTTAGTGAAGTCATGTTTGCTGCTGATATCAAAACAAGATGATTAACAAATATTGTACAATATGCAAAGGACTTTTCACAATTCAGGATGGGCAAAAATCTGAAAGTTGACATTTGAAGTGAACATGTGAAGTGTGGTTCATGCAGGGAGCAAAGTATGAATGCAAGATGGGAGAAGCTTAATGTGTAGATGCGACCTGTGAAAACAAAATGTAACTGTCTACGCTGACACATCATTGCCGTAGTGTTAAAGTTCTACAGTGTGGTGATGAAACCTTACTTAGAATAGTGTGTTCAATTTTGTGCACAACTTTACCATAAATACGCTTATAAAAAACAATTAATCGTTTATATTAATAATTTTTAGTCTTGGATGGCAAAGTCTAAGAGACTGAATCCTAAAAGTCCTTGGCAAAGCAAACTTCAGGACACAATTGGAAATAAAACAATTAATCAAGTGAGATTAGGTGCATTGAAAACAGTGAACGGGACACAGTTTATACACAAGGTCATGGGAGTCTGGAACAAGCTACTCAGCCATGTTCTCAATGCTGATACCCTGGGCTTGTTCAAGAAATAGCTGGGTGAGAGAGTATCTGACTTACTGTACAGATTTAGAATCAATGTAATTGCATGCAAGCACATCTGTCTGTAATACTACAGTATATAATAGATATTCACCGTGATTCGCCATGTGAATCTTAAATGTATGTCTGTAGTACAGGTTATTTACATACATGTACTGTAATAGTGGAAAGATTAAATGATATGTTTAAAACAGCGCGATGGCATGAGTGTATACATACAAGTCTGTGTCTGGATGTGAAGCTATGCTCCCAACTTCAGGCTGGCAGAATAGATTACTGGTTATTAACCCAGGTCACTGAAGGCATGCAGCTCTGTCTATAATACTGTAGATGTTCAGATTACTGAAGAGTCAACAGCAGGTTTCTTCCAATTTGATCATTCTAAAGAAAAAAATAAACTGCAAAAAGCCAAGCATTCATTATGAACTAATGTCAATTTAGCGTTTAGCTAGTTAACTGCTTTTAAAATTAACTATTAAAACCATTAACTATTAAAATATATCCCACAACGAAAACATTAAAAGTCATTTCCACACAAATATATCCCTCACAGAATTAATTAGGAACAAAAATGTTTAATCCGTATTCATGCAAGTTAACTTACTCTAATTTGCATTTAAATTTAATAACGTAATATTTAGCACTGACTAAATTCTTTAAAAATATGAATTTGCTCCTTACTCAACAGAACCTGACTCTCACTGGACTCCCTTTACCATCAAGCAGATTCATAATAATTTCTGCTTCACATGCAGTGATTATTGCAGACCACTATAACCCCATTCCTGCATGTCAAGTATTGCACAACCATTTAATTGCCAATCTGATTATAAAGATGAATCTATTTACAATGAAGAAGAAATGAAGTAGAGACAATATAGACTTTGTAGCAGCTGTGGGAGAAACATTGAGAGCTCTGTTCAGGGGTAAGGAGGGTAGCGTGTCAGTACAGAGGGAGGCTGGAGACCCCTGCGGTAGACCCACGCATTCTGCTGCTGACTGGAATTATATTGGTCTTAATGCAGTCTAACATCATTACCTGTCACGACAGACACCCGCTGTCTTCAAGAGACATGCTTCATCTCTCCTGCCTCCTCCACACCCCCCCAGCTGACACCCCGCTACTGTCTTTCTGTTCTCTCGCATACATGAGGTTCTGTTAATCAGGGCCAAAGGTCAGAAATGCAGATAAGCACACAGGCAACAGAGATGTACAGTATTCTGTTTATTTAGAACATTTTCCCACATGTGTGGTTATCATTCAAGATGTTGACTGTACACAAAGCAGTTAAGAAATTCTTCCTACGTTAGCATCAGAAAGGTTATAAACAAGTGGGGCTTAGCAAGCTTCTTTGGTTCTCTGTAGATCTTATTTTTCTGAGTTCGCAATATGGCTGGGCAGATGGGCTTGTTCCAGACTCCAACAACCCTTTGTGAAAAGGACTGCTTCCTTTTCTCACTCTTCGACACACTTCCCTGTAGTTTTTGACTTGAGCCCTCTGATTTGTCTCACAGCTAGTTAAGATAAAATCCATCAATTGGACTACTTCCATTTTAGGAACAAGTAATAGGTTTATTCCATGCTGAAAAAAAGAAGAAAGAGAACGCAACGTTTCGGCCGTGGAGCCTTCTTCAGGTGTGACACCTGACACCTGAAGAAGGCTCCATGGCCAAAACATTGTGTTTTCTTTCTTCTTTTTTCAGCATGGAATAAACCTATTACTTGTTCCTTTGCAGCCTACGCATGCTGATGCAGCTACCCACCTGAACTACTTCCATTTTAGTCTTTTCTGCTTAATACAGTCTCTGAGGTTAGTGTTACTGGGACACTGTATTATTATTTCTATTGAAAGTTTATTTTTATTGACTGGTTGGGATTTTGATTTGACTTGGCCATCATTCACAGGAATCAGAATTCTAGCGGCCTGCTGCTCTTAGTCCTAAACGTGTACTGTATGTGTGTAGATGCCTGTAGCTTGTTGAATCTAACAGAATCTTAATATCCATTAATTTAAAATTAATAACTAAATTAATATTAATTAATAATAGAATGCCTTTTAAGTAATCTGATATGGCGCTTCAGTGGTCGATAAGTGCTTCTTGTTGTTAGTTGTGCATCTTTGTCACTTTGATGAGTGAATGATACAATAAAACTCTCAACAAGCACTTGATTTTCAGTGAATTTTTCAGTGAATCTTTTGTAATACTGTATATTAACCATTTCTTTATTACAGGGTAAATACACATTCTGTCCTGATAAATAACCTCTTGTCTTTGAGCATCTTTGATTTGAGAATAGTGCAATCCTGCCATCTTGTGGTTGTGGCACCAAATCTGCACGTCATTAGGATGCAGTTCTGCTACCGTTGGTTCCGTCTGTTTCTGATTTCTAGATCTTTGACCTTTGGTTTTCCGATTTGCATGGCTATTTTTAAATTTGACTACCCTTTTCTAATACGGAGAGTTTTGTCATTTAAAATTGTAATTTAGTATCAATTAATATACGGCATTTGTTCCTGAATTCATGCACTCCCAGGTTGGTGTGGTTGAATGGTATAATTGGACCAGGGGTTTTTCTCTCTGTTATCCCCTTAACACACAGAAGAGTTTCATACCATGAAAGCATCAGGTCGTTAGCTTGAGTGTTTGTGGGAGCAGACCGCTACACCTGCAATCGTTCAAGCAGCATCAACCCGTTCATGACTTCCCAGAGAAGAATGGCTAAGAAGTGGGTCAGTTTTTATTGGGGTGTAGATCAATTTATTAAATTTTCAAATAACATCAGTCATTTAAGTAATTGCATATTTACACTGTACAGTAGGTAGGAATTGTTCAGAACCATTAATTCATGAAGAATTGAAAGAGTAAAGTCGACTGCTTCTGTTTTAGTGCTTTATTTGTACCAGACGTCTGGTAACTCAGCGTGGGTGAAGCCCATAGCCCGGGTTCTTTCAAAGGCTGCGTGAGATCCTGAGAGGAGTCGAATCAGCCAGATGGGTCCAATGACCTCAGCTCCGTCTTTCCACATATTACAACAAACTGGTCTGAGGTGAACGATCGTGTTGTGACACTGGCTCCTGTGTGTTCCACTACAGACTGGGAACAGGACCCAGCGAGCTGACCTTCTCCTTTCTCCCGTTGTGATGCAGCGCAGGGGGACCAGCGTTGTGAGCTGAACTGCCGAGCGATCGGCTACCGCTTCTACGTGCGGCAGGCCGAGAGGGTGATCGACGGGACGCCGTGCGACCACAATGACTCCTCTGTGTGTGTGGCCGGCCAGTGCAAGGTAGGGCACCTCACCCTGGAGCTCCAGCAGGAGGGGCTTTTCCTGAAGGCCCTTCAGATCGGCCACTGTGGTCTTGATGTCTCCCCATCGAGTTGTCCCATCAGGAGGTGGTAAGATGGCAAAGGGATGAAATTAACTGGACCGTATCTGTCTGTAGCTCACTGTGTGTATCATGAAGTGACTTTCATTTTTATTGCACTCATGTCTGGAGTCCACATGTCATTATCCTCAGCTGATTATAGTGGTCTGTATTTTATTATAGTTCTGAAAAATATTTTCCAAAGCTTTTACTGTCACTTGTCAGATGGTTTTAGAAAATGTGGAAAACAGCCTAACTTTAATCCTGGGAAACCATAATTCTTTTCTAACTAACTAACGAAGCTCACTAAATGCTACACTCATGGCACATTCTGCAACTGCTATCATTTACATTGTGAATGAAATATTGTAGTGGTGCACCTTAATCTTCCATTTTAAAAAGTGCAAAGTCTTTCCCTCTGGTATATTAATTTCACCAGGTCAGTGGAGCTGAATAGATTAACTGGATGATTGATTTTTAAGTGTTTTACACTTGAATTTAAAAGTCTCTCCCTTGCATCCAGCAGGGGTCAGCAGAGCTTTGCAACAAATCAAGTGGAGTGTTTGGGAATCGTGATTGTTGAAGAAATGAAATTACAGTGTTTATGTCCACTATAGAGCCTCATTACTTTCTGGCTGTCTCAGTCAGTGCCACTGTGCCAGCCGATTTAATTTGCATACAGATTGTCAGCAGTCAAAATGACTGTTCAATTCCTGATCTAGTCTTTCAAACGTTTGCAGTTTATTATGAGGTTTTATTCTGATGCTCACAATTTAGTCAATTCTTCTTAAATGTCTTGACCTGATTTTCTACATGATCCATCACCACTGTTGCTATCCAATTTAATCAGCCAGATGTTGATTGAAACAATAAGTCTTTTAAACTCTTATTTGATGAATAAGGGTTAGCAATGCCTGTTTGAGATGACGGAACAATGTTGATTCTAATATAACAGGTATAGTGCAAAAGGCAAACTGTTCTGCGTTTGAGGTGGGAATGAGACAAAATCACATTTTAAACAAATACTTCAAGTGAAGTAACAAGTAATAGGTTTATTCCATGCTGAAAAAATAAGAAAGAAAACACAATGTTTCGGCTGTGGAGCCTTCTTCAGATGTAAGGGTCCTTCTCACACCTGAAAAAGGCTCCACAGCTGAAACGTTGTGTTTTCTTTCTTCTCTTTTCAGCATGGAATAAACCTATTACTTGTTCCTTTGCAGCCTACGCATGTGAAGTGCTGCTTGGGGGTTCATTAGAAGATACACAGTGGAACAGATAGACATGTATATGTTTGTCCTGATAAGGAGAGAAATAATGTTTTGGTGATTACAAGCGAAATGCTGAGATTCTTTTTTCAAGTTCTTTGATGGATGGGCTTTCAGGAGTTAAGAACATTGTTTAAAGAGCTGTGTTTGCTTTGTCCTATTTTCAGACGTCTGCTTGTAGGATTTCCTTGGGAATTACATTAGGTTACATGATATGACTTCATTGCTTCATTTCATTTCTGTGTTCCCTCTTTGTAGGAGGGAACTGCTGGTTCATGACCTCTTCTTCATCCTCTGCAGTATGATCGGCACTGTGTACAATCAGGAGTTCTGAAAGGAATGGTGCTGTTTACAGTGCTTTAACAAGCTCTTAATTCAGAGCCCAAACACTGAATAATTGTATTATTTTTGGAATACTGAGTGGTCATTGTGTATTGTTTAAGATGCATTTTTTTCTTTTTGGGAGTAAGGTTGGAGTGTGGGTCCAACTGTGCAACTTATTTAACGTATTCTATGTTTTGTAAGTATTAATGTTTCAACCTTTGCTTTGGCTTGCTTTTGTCTTTTTCTTTTGTACTTCTAAAATTCATTTTTGTTGGCAAGGTGATTGTTATAATAGCCTTGAACATGATACTGTCCCATTGTAGATTCTTATACCACAGTCCAACAACCACAGAGCTCCGTGCAAGTTATACACACAGACTTAGCAAAATTTTAAGACACCCCCTGAAATGTTAGATGTTTGGTAATAATTCAGATTTAACTTAGTGCTCACATACTCAGTGATAGCTTGCTTACATTGTGTTCATTGTATTCTGTTGCTCTAATTTTTACTACACACTGGAGTTTATAGTAAGTTGGTCCATTGATCAACAGTGGTGGCATCTAATGTGCATTTATTTTCCAGAAAAAATGTATTGCTCGGGCATGTGAACAAGCCCAAGACAAGAGAACTGATAAAGTTAATCGACTGAAGGAAAAGAGCTCAAGAGTGTTTCTCTCTCATGGTTGCTGCACAGGTCCTGAACAGATGAGATACTTGAGAAATGTCCCGCCTGCCCTGAAAAGACCTGCAGAGACCAATTCCCTGCATGCCAAGGCACACCTTAAACAGGCTCACAAGAATAAGTTCACTTTAGAATTTCATCCATAAGAAATCTTCAGAACACAGCTATTGCCTGTTGGAAGTGAACTTGGAAGAAGAGGATTATAGCACAAACCGTGGAGTTATTATGACTAGAGTTATGCTCAAACTGTTTCTCCCTGTGTTTGTTTAGCACTTTGAGGAGCAGCACCGCTCTGGGTGAGGAGGGCAGCCCATGA